TCAGAACGGAAGCGGAGGAGAGCAGAGACCGCGCTGGCCTTGGAGGCAGCTCCGCGCTCCCCACACGGTCTTCCAAAATTCTGCTTTCCCGTCGCCTAGGCATAGGAGCGGGCGGGTATCTTTGTGTGCCGTCAGAGCAGGCTGCTGTTCTTAACCCTAAAATACGATTTTAAAACTATCTTGATAGGACTTTAAGGAGCCTGCCTAGGTTATGTATCCCTTAACATAAAGTATATGCGTGGAAACTAGATGTGGTCTATTAAAAACTATATATGCATATATATATATACACACACGTACATATATACCTGTGTGTATATATAAATAAATATATAAAAATAATAGTTTTTTTCTGGGCTGTTTCTGTACTTGCTAATGTCCCCTTAACTCAGTGATGTCTGTTTGTATCCTGTTTAGAGGACCCTGCTGTTGAAACAGCAGAGGAAGCTAAGGAACCAGCAGAAACAGACATCAATGAACTTTGTAAGGACATGTTCAGCAAAATGGCCACTTACTTAACAGGTGAACTGACAGGTAAGGTATTGCAATACTCATCTGCAAGTAACATTTTATTGTGTTCCTTTTTTAAAAAAATTAAAAATAAATTTGCTGTCTAGTTTATATAAATTTTACCTATTTAGATCGTATCTGTCAGGACAGGTGGTTCAAGTCTGGCAAGGTGCTAGACTACTGGCAACCCTGAGATTAGTCATGTTAATGAAGTCCCAGATTAGCACAACATTTTTTAAAAAATAAATCAGGATTATACTGAAAACTGTAACAAGATATTTCTAGTCTGGCACAGGCTTGTGTGAGGGCAAACACATACCAGATCTAGGCTAAGAAGGACTGGAGGAGGAGGACAACTGAGAGTAGCATTTGTGCAGTTCTTTTATTTCTGAGTGAGGGCAAGGATTATGTATGTGTGTTCCAGCCATCATGCCTTACAATAAACTACTGTGCAGCATTAGCTGGAGTAAAGTGAAATGAAATGCCCATTTCAGGAGCCTTCCTCGTGTTTATAACATTATAGCCTTGGAGGTTAGTTAAATTCCTTGTGGGTTAAAATGATCAAAGTATAAATAGCAATGTAGAACGTAGTTGATGACTGTTCTTTATGTCCTAAATGCTTCACATACTTAACTTTTAAAAATCTGCAAGACTGTCCAGCTCTTTGGATTATATATCATAAAATGCTGTGATAATTTACATCAGAAGGGATGTCTGCAGATCACCTAGCCTAACTCACTGCTCAGAGCAAGGTCAGCTTCAAAGTTAGGTTGTCTAGCTGAGTCTAGCTAGTCTAGCTGAGGTTGTTCTTACTCGTGCTTTAGCTCTAATGTGATTATATCCACAGGCTGGTGTAAAGGTATAGAAGATCAGTTATCCCTATTTTACAGATAGGAAACTGTGAAATTAATGATCTAACTACTGTTGAACTGATATCTGGAGAATTTGGGTCTAAGTTACTTTACTGAGATAGGCAAGGAAGCCTGTGAAGCTTGGAAAGCATTAGAATTATCCAAATCTCAGTTTGTCATTTTAATCCTTGGAGTGTCTTTTCTTTTTATGTTTTGATGTATCAGAGGCTGTCCTCAAAATTTAACAGTTTAAAATTTCCATTCTTAAGGAGTTTCCTGTGGTATTTCTGGGCAATGTATTAATCTTAGTGTTACAAAGTCTAGCCCTTCTTCCCCTGCTTTGTTCCTTCAGCCTCCCACCTCCACCCACCCACCCCCCAAAAAAGAAGGAATAATTGAAAGCATTCAGTAAGTTAACCAAATCTTTAGGCTCTAGTTTCAGAAGCACTTCCCATCACTGTTGATTTGTGTGGGCTGGAGGGTATATGGTCAGACTAACTGTCTGAATTTTTCTCATCAGTTTTGTAAACAGAAGCATGTGACTGTCAGAATAGCAAAAATGTGTGGAATGGGGCATTTTTTTTTTCTTAAATGCCTTGCAAGTGCAAGACAAGTCCTGCTGATTTCTCTACCCTGCAGAATGTGGTCTCTTTTTGCATAGCATTCTGCTAATAAGTGTATTACTAGCTAAACTGTTTTTAGTTACATTCAGGTATATATATTTTTGGAAATCTCTAGTGCTCTTGAATTGTATGCCCCCAAATCAGACTGTACCAACTTTCAAACAAAATAAAATTTATTGTTTTTAAGCCACCAGTGAGGACTACAAACTCTTGGAAAACATGAACAAGCTGACTAGCTTGAAGTACCTGGAAATGAAAGATATTGCTATAAACATCAGTAGAAATCTGAAGGATTTAAATCAAAAATGTAAGTAAACCAAGAAAGGGAGGAGTATAATAAACTATACATTTGCACAGTAAGTAAAGCATCTAAGCATGGTTTACACTGCAGTAGGCTCTGAAGGAAAGAAGGCTGCAA